TATATATATATATATATATGTTTGCTAGCCCAGATCATACTATTGTATTGGCAGATACTGTGTGTCTGGTTCTGGACCAACTGGAAAATGACCTACAATAGTAACACCTTTGATTTTGAATGAGTGAATTTACTAAGAAAGAAGGAAGTCAGAATAAAAGAAAAAGTCGTATATAAGAGCTTGACAAATAGATGAGAGATGAGCCAACAGAAAGACAAACAGTCAAAATGTTATTTCAGGCCCTGAAGAAATATGAGGCAAGCGTTGGCATTAATCCTCAAAGGTGGCTAATTTATGACAGCCATCTCAACCTGCCCTCTGAGAGTCTTCTTGGGTGATGTTTCTATGTAAGAATATATAGCAACATATAGAGATCACATGCTCAAATCAGATACTCACAACTTTCAGAAGAAATTGTCTGAGAAAGTAGAAACAGTAAGCTGGAGTTTCCAAACGCACTCCTCCCAGTACTGAAATTCACCATGGTTTAACTTTCATTTGTTTTCTCTGCTCTGCCTGGGAACCCAGAGGGGGAATGCAGTTGGCTGCATTAACGTGATTACTCAGTTTCTATACAAAATCTACAAGCTAATTTGAAGATGTTGTCTTGCTATATATATATATATATATTGGAAGCTTCATGGTTCTATGTTTTGAAAGCAACCTGACTAGAAAAAAAAAAGATTGCCTCATAATTCTTCAGGGTATTCTGGTCAGTCAATCTGGTATTTTGCTATCAGTCATTTTGTCTGTCTATCATATATATATACCTATATATATATATATATATATATATATTCTACCTAATATATATTCTACAAACCAATTTATTATTTTACTTTGGCTTGTCATATTCTTGGTCAACTACGTTAGTTGAAACATAAGATATGGACATTATATATAATTTTTCAGACAGTACAACTATTATCGTAAGCCTGAAATGAAAGGCAGTTGTTCAAAGACCATCACTGATCTTCTATATGCTTTAAATCTCAGTTAGAGATGATGTTAATAAGGAATTTATAGGAAGGAGAAAAGAAGATGGTGGAAAATACAAATTGTATGAATGATATAAGGACTTTTGATATCCCCAGAAAAGAAAGTTGAAGGAGAATTTAGGGTCCTGGGGAACGGTCATGAATCTCTATCATAAGTACCTGAAGCAAATACTTGTGTGAACTGTATTTTTTGTTATCTGTTCACATATTGACCAAACAAAAAGAATCAATACACTAAAGTCACATTTTTATATAAACAAAAACTTTACATACTTACAGCGGCAAAGCATTTATGTATTATGCTTCATTAGGCACCAAGGAAATTGTGAAGGATTTTAATCCACAAATGGAACACACTGTGATATGCAAAAGAAAGCAAACACATAAACAGGCAAATAGGTTGCAAGGCAAATGTGTGTGTGTGTGTGTGTCCCATATTAAAGATATTTTCAAATTTCTATCAGAATGTACAGGGAGAATAATCATTTCCATTTTTATTGTTTAGGTGAATAAGGAAAACTAGGGAGGTAAACATTCGTAGCCAGCAGCATCACTATTAGATGAGTGGTGAGGGGAGGGTTTTAAAGGAGGTTGGCGTACAGTTAGAGAATGGTAGCAGTGTTATTCAGGAAAGACAAGAACATGTGCAAATAAATGAATGCAAATAAAATTCTGTCATTTGGGAAATAGACAAAGAATATCTGAAACCACATCCTACCACATACATGGAGGTTTTACCAACAATATCTTCAAAAATACCTAACACCAAATATAGCAGGTTAGCAGTTTCGGGTTCCATGAGGCTAAATCACATAGGAAGAATAATTTTAAATATCATGCAAAATTGAGAATTAACCCTCAGTTAATGAAAATGAAATGTTTCACTATTTGTGAGGATATGACTGCAAAATATTACCAAAATTTCTAATATACACTATGTAGTCTAGGTAAAAGTTAAATTGACAACAAGGGAAGCTATGCAGTGTGCATGTAAGAGCACCATATGATTTTTGTGTTCTATTAAAATTTCATGTGGAATAACTTTCCTAAAACAAATCTAAAAGTGTTTACCTGTAGAAAATTGTAAAAATTTGATAAAAGACCTAACAATTTACATGTTAACTATTTTAATGTATTTATGCCTTTATATGTAGATATTGAACATACACATTATTCTAGGGAATTGTATTTAAAGACTTAATGTCATCAGATTTAAGCTGTAGTTTTATGTTAATTGGATTGATCTCTTTGATTCTTTGTGCCTTGTTAATTTTAATGAAAGTACATTTATCAGAAGCCTGACAAAATAAAATTATGTTCCTATATATCATACTAAACTAACGACTCAACATATTTACTACTCCCATGAAACATACACTAGTGAAAATCCTGGAAGACACATTAATGATATCAATGAGAAGAACGAGGAAGGATGGCAAAGCCAGCCCTCCCATTCACCCATAACTCACTAAGCAGTCAAGTTTCTATGCTAGCATTCTATTTCAGTTTTTAAAAAGTCTTGTTGGGCCACCTTTTTGAATACTCCCAAAAACTTTATAGTTCATATCAATCCAAAATATAAACTTCATTTTTATTAATAATAGCAGTCTCAAATATTCACATACTCAAGGAGTACTGGCTAATTAAACATAGCAGTGGGTTCATAGAGAAATTATTATACTTATTTACAAGCTTCTTGGTGTTTCTTGGTTCTTCAGTGATGAAATGATACACCAGAAGGCACTTAAACTATATCCACTTAACCTATATGAAATAAAAAATGATCATCAGATACAAAAATATTGATGTTTCATTAGTGATGATTAGCATTTGCTTTTTTGTCTTTGTTTTATTTTTCCAGAGAGACTTTGTGATTTTCCAAAAATAAGCCATGGAATATTATATGATGCAAAGAAATATGACTCACTGTCCCCTGTTCCTAGTGGGAAGGTTTTATACTACTCTTGTGAATATAATTTTGTGTCTCCTTCAAACTCCTTCTGGACTTGCATAACATGCACAGAAGAAGGATGGTCACCAACACCAAAGTGTCTCAGTGAGTAAATGCCTATTCTTAGAAGAATACTGACTGAAAGAAAGAGAAGAAGGGTCCGTGGGGTCCAGAATGTGACAGAGTTGGGCTGTGGAAGGGTCAGGTGCAGTCTTTACTTTGTGAGCTATTTTTCTTAGAAAAATACAATGAAGAACATATTGTCAACAGGTGATCTACAAAAATAGTTACTAACTGAAAGCTGATAATGAATATATTTGACAACTAACGGATCTTGTCAAACATACACTTAGTAGCAACGAATAATATAATAATAATGCAAAAATAAGTCACTTTGTGTATCCACTGTGTTTGGATGATCTTTTCTCTCAAATATTCTTTTTTAAATTGTTTTTATTGAGCTATATATTTTTCTCTGCTCCCCTCCCATTCTCCCCACTCACCTTCTAACCTATCTTATGATCCCCATGCTCCCTGTTTACTAAAAAATTCTTGTCTTTTTCAAGTGCCTATATAGATTAGATCCATGTGTATCTCTCTTAAGGTCATCTTTGTTGTCTAGGTTCTCTGGCATTTTGAATTTTAGACTGGTTTGATGTAGGAGTCTCTCTGTATGCTGTGAATATATTCGATTAATGAATAAAGAAATTGGTTTGGCCGATTACAGGGCAGAATAGAGCAGACAGAATTCCAAGCAGAGATAGAGGAGGAAGTAGACTGAGTCAGGGAAACACAATAAAGCCACCAGAGAAACAGACTCCTGAATCTTGCTGGTAGGCAACGACCTCACGGTGATGCACAGATTAATAGAGATGGTTTGATTTAAGATGTAAGAGTTATCTAGAAATATGCATAAGCTAATAAGATAAGCAGTATTGTAATTAATACAGTTTCTAAGTGATTATTTGGGGCCTGGGAAGCTGGGAATGAAAAAGCAGTATCTGCCAGCAATGGAGAAATGTTCACTTTACCTCACAGCCTCTCCAGCATAAAGTTGTCATCAGTGTTTTTGATCTTAGCTATTCTTACAGGTGTAAGATTCTTAAAACTATACTGAAAGCAGGCTGATATTATCATAAAAACAGAAAGGAGGACCAATGGGACTGAATTGAAGACCTGGTAATCAATCCACAAACTTCTGAGCATCTGATTATTGACAAAGAAGCAAAAAATATCAAATGGAAAAAAAGAAAGTATATTCAACAAATGGTACTGGCATAACTGGGTATCAACATGTAGAAGAATGAAAATAGATGCATATCTATCACCATGCACAAAACTCAAGTCCAAATGGATCAAAGATCTCAACATAAAACCAACCACACTGAACTTCTAAGAAGAGAAAGTGGGAAGTACACTTGAACAAATTAGCACAAAAGACTGCTTCCTAAATATAACACCAGTAGCACAGACACTGAGAGAAATGATTAATAAATGGGACCTCCTGAAACGGAGAAGTGTCTGTAAAGCAAAGGACATGGTCAATAAGACAAAGAGGCCATCTACAGAATAGGAAAAGATCTTCACCAACCACATATCAGATGGAGGACTGATCTCCAAAATATACAAAGAACACAAGAAATTGGTCATCAAAATAACAAATAATTCAATAAAAAAATGTGATGCAGATCTAAACAGAGAACTCTCAACAGGTGAATCTAAAATGGCTGACAGACACTTAAGAAAATGTTCAACCTCGTTAGTCATCAGAGAAATGCAAATCAAAACAACTCTCAAATATCCTAATAAAAGACATTTTACTTTTGCATATTCCAAAGCTTATTATATCTTTAGACTTGTTATCTATAATACATTGATCTTTTAGAGAATATGTGCTGCACACTCTGGCAAGACAGGTGTTTAAAAAAAGATAAGAAACAGAATAGCTAGGGTCAGTACAGCAGATAACATCATCACTTGTTGAAGAAACATCCAGAAATTAAAAAAAAAACAAGTCTATACAATATAGTCTTCCAAATGTGAACATGGAACACCTTTCTATATGTATGTCTTCAGTTTCTTTCATCCATGGTTTGTCTTCATTATAGCTTGATTACCTTCTCAGTTAAATTTATTATAGGTTTTGGAATTATATTTATTTTTTTAACTCTTATTCTCTTGATTTCCAACTAGTTTATTATTTTGGCATAGGACGTCCTTCTGTTTATGTGTTGCCTTCATTGGTTGAATAAAGAAACTGCTTTGGCCTCTTGATAGGGCAGAACTTAGGGAGGCAAAGTAAAAAAATAATACCATTTTATGAAGATGTCTTTCAGTTGGAAAATATTGAATTTGAAAAGTTATTTCAAAAGTAGAGACATGGTATTCTGTAGAGAACTCACACTGTAGACTACCGGGAGTTGGCAAGATTCAGAAACCTTATTCGTATAGCTTGCTTCAGGTGTGTCGGTCTTCTAACCATCCTTTAATACGCAATCTAATTTTTCTTAATTTCTCCCATAGTGTGAATTAATCTTTTTTTCTTCTGAAGGGCTGTGTTTCTTTCCTTTTGTGGAAAATGGTGATTCTACATCTTCAGGACAAACACATTTACAAGGTGATGCTGTACAAGTCGTTTGCAATCAAGGCTACACCCTTCACAATAATCAGAGCAGCATTGCATGCACTGAAGAGGGCTGGTCCATTCCTCCCAAATGCATTTCCACCAGTAAGTACCACACTGTGCTCTCATTTCCTGCCATTGTCTATAGTGTTCAAAATCAAGCTTACTGTTATGGGTTAAAGGTCTTTCTCCTGACTTTTGACACAAGTCGTTTCTACTTGATTTACAGTTACATCTAAAGGGATATCCAAATATACTGGGTTTTGTGTCTCGTTCAAGTGGATATAATAAATAGAAATATCATAGGAGTACATTCTGAAGGCATACTGCTCAAAATAAAGTCAAACCATTCTCTGTCTGCAAAACCATGATTCATAGAAATCAAGACATGATTAAAGAGATAAAGACCTAAAATGAATTATAAATATAAACTGTAATGTGTACATTTTTAAATTCCAATAGACTTTAGGGAAAAGCTAATGAAAATGTTATCTTTTAAACTGATTTCTGTATTGTCAAGGGCCTCATGGCATTGTTAACAGCATTGTAAATCACATACTTTAGAAAATGAATGTTAGTGTCTTGCCACTGATCAAACATTTTATTTTTTATTAAAGGTTTAATATGGACATGCAAATGTAATGAAAACATTAGCAAAATATTCTTACACTTGAAGATAGGGTATTAGTTGATGCTCAGGATGACCTGAAACTCACTTATGTAGGCCAGCTTGTCCTTGAACTCAATGAAGATCATTTTGTATTAGCCTAAAGAATGCTGGGATATCAGACAAGAGCCACCATTCTTGCTGCAAATACCTTTCAAGTAACTCTTCATAATAATAAACTCTTCAAATAGTGCTGTGAGTTCAATAAAATAATACTAACTTTTGAAGTGCATTTGTCAAGCACAGCAAAGTTATCACCAGTGCAAATAATTATAACAAAAATATAGTCTATTTTCAGAAATTAAAGCCTGCATGTAGTTATAAATAAGTCTCTGGCTTTCCTCTTTAAATTGCTGAAGAATCTGAAAAGAAATGTTATTCTTTTAACAAGAGTTAAATGCCCACTTGCTTGATCTCAGCATTTTCTACTTAGACTTAATACTCCTCCAGTCTCACTTGTCCATTTACATGTCTTTGCAGCCAGTGGTTCAGTGTGAGGGGTCATCAGTGTTCAGATTCTGTTTCTTCTAGATTTTACAGTTTATTCTCAGCAAATGTTTAATACTGGTCTTCCCTGGAGCAAAACTAAAGAACAGATTTCAGGAATTTACCCCACATGAGTTCTTAGACAGCCCCTCTCATTGACTGGTAATCAGGATCTGTGATAAGGTTGCTGGCACTCCCACCAATGGAGCCTGCTGTAACTGTCCAGTTCACACTTCCTCCTCTAGTGGAGAGTTCTCCCCAAGCAAAACATTGTTACCATGTCAGTGTGTTGTAGCTCACTTTCCTTGGCACTGTTACATGTTTCTGTCTCCTACAAAGTTTCTATCTCTGATGATTTTCAAACCTGGTTCTAGGTTTCAGAATGGGATGCTAGCATGGGGTGTCTCCATTTATTCTTTTTATCTTTTTCTCTGATGATTATTTTTATTGTTAGATACAAAAAATATGTTAAGAGCTTTTGAAAAATTTTTGAATAATTAAATATACATAGACACTTTAAAATGTTCCATCAGTTTTAACAATACTTTTGGCCTTCCACTTTTTGTTCTGTTTTGTTTTTTTGTTTGTTTGTTTGTTTGCTTTTTCTGGTTTGTTAAGACAGTGTTTCTCTGTAGATTTGGAACCTGTCCTGGAATTCCCTCTGTAGATCAGGGTGGCCTCAAACTCATAGAGATCTGCCTGACTCTGCTTCTGCCTCCAGAGTACTGGGATTAAAGGTGTGTGCCACAACCACCCAACTGGTCCTCTAGTTTTTAAAACTACTCTTGCAATTATAACTTCCTAAACTACCATCTGGTTAAAAATTCTTTTGATATAACATAAAATATACTGAGGGGGAAAAATGTTTCAAAACAGTACAAAATCTAAATGTTCAAAGCCCTTGTGCTTTGAGTTTAAATCCCACATATGTTCAAAATGAACATGGGGGGCTGGAGATGAACCAGCACTTAAGAACACTGACTGCTCGTAGAGGACTGTATTTTCTGCTCCCATGTGTCAACTGACAGCCCTCTATATCTCCAATTCTGGATTTTCCAATGCCATCTTCTTACGTCTCAGGACACCATGGGTACAGGTGATGCGTGGATACACATTCAGAAGAACACTGCCACACATAAAAACAAAAATTAATGTAATAATTTTTAATATGGTTGTCATTTCTCAACCATTGCTGAAAAGAAAACAGTCATGTTTGATTGTATGAGATATGTTTATAAACATCAGTTGATAATATTTGTTAGAGAAAAACAAGAAAACTTTTTTTCCTAGTATTGAACTCTCACAAAATGGCATATCATTGCCTTGGTACAGTTGGATTTCTTTCTCTGACTACCATGACAAATCACTACAAATTTAGTGAAGTAAAACAGTATAATCTCTTCCATTATGACTTTGGAGACAAGAGATCCAAGGCATTGCCTCTTGGCTCCAGTCCAAGTGTTGGCCTCCGTAGTTTTTTTTTTTTCTTATTTTCTCTAAGAGCAGTTCTATTCACCTGCCTTTTTAGTAGCAAGATTCTACTTATTCTGTCTGGTGAGGGTCATCTTCCTCCAATTTCAAACTCAGTAGTTTGTCATATCTGAACATTTTCCTCATGATCCTTACCTCTGCCATGGCATTGTCTTCTGCCATAGCAGATAGTAAAAATAACCACCTCTTTCAAGATCCTTAATTACAATTCTGAAGTTACATTGACTTATAAAGTCATATTTTTTTGGTTTGGGAGTTTAAAATATAGAATCGGGTGGGGATATCATTAAACCTACCAAAGTAATTAACAATAAAATAGCAAGCTTGTAATCATTTTATAAAAATTTTTAACTGAAAAAATTTATTTTTCATTCAATATACAAATTCCCTTTCCTCATCTTCTCCCAAATCCTCCCTATCTCCTATCTCCCCTCATTCTAACCCCATGACTCCTCTCCCTCTCTCTCTCTCTCTCTCTCTCTCTCTCTCTCTCTCTCTCTCTCTC